AAAAAAAAAAAAGAATAAAAAACACTCCTAGATATTTTATTATTAATTTATTTAGAGATTTTTGGTATAGGGTATGTGCACTTGTAAGAGAGAGAGACAGAAAGCAAGAAATCACCTTCTCCTCAAGATTTCAGGACCTTGGGCACGCATGCACACACCCCTGGCATGAGTTTTAAGTCGCCAGGTCCAGGACTCGAACTACGGTTGACTGTGGGGGAGTACAATGATATAACCATCACACCATCTGCTGGTCCCTGACTTTAGTTTTTATTTTATTTTTGTTTTTGTTTTGTTTTGTCTTTGAGAGGGTTTTTTTTTTTTTTTTTTTTTTTTTGCTATAGGGGCGCATGCACTCGCCAGACAGACAAAGAGAGACAGAGAGACAGAAAGCGAGAAATCAACTTCCGGGGGGATGGCCACACTGCAATCTCTTTCTCCTCCATTCTCCTCTTGGGATCCTGGGCGCGCACGCACACGCACCTGGCATGAGTTCAAGCCACCGGGTCCGGGACACGAACCGCGGTCGACAATGTGGGAGTCCAGTGACACAGCCATTACGCCAACTGCTGGTCCCTTTAGTTTTTATTTTAAATGGCCCTAAATAAACCCCCTTACTTCGGCTGAGTTGGCAGAAAAGTCAAGGAGTATTTTTCTGTCAAAAACCGTGTCATGACTTTTCCAACAGCGAGTATGTATGATGTCATAGCCATGTGCATATGACAGCTATCCTGTATATCACTGTACGTGCATTTTATGCACTCTCCTGTAAGGCAGAGAGAGTTAGACAGAGAGAGAGAACCCTCCCAGTGGGGCCGCCATGTTGCAATCCTTTTTTCCTCTAATTCTCCGTCCTGCCAGGATTCTCAGCATGTGTTGCCCAGTATGTTTTTCTTTTCTTTTAAAGAATTATTTGAGTTTAGGGAGCAGTCCTGTTCTCCTTTCTCTTGTCTGCCAACGCCGCTCCACTCCTGTCAGCCCCCAGCCAGCCGTCTCCCTGAGACTGGGCACCATGCCTTCAATTAAGGTGCCGAGTTCTGATGGAGAGATACCTGAAGTTGATGAGGGAACTGCCAAGCAGCCTGACTATCGAGACCATGTAGGAAGACTTGGGAATGGATGAAGGAGACGGTGACCCAGTTCCTCTACCGAATGTTAATGTAGCAATATTAAAAAGGCCACTCAGTGGTGGACCCACCTCAAGGATGACCAGGATGACCCTCCTCCTCCTGAAGATGATGAGAACAGAGAAGTTCCTGTTTGGGACCGAGGACTTCTGAAGGTTGACCAAGGAACACTTTTTGACTTCTCCTGGCTGCAAACTACTTAGACATCAAAGGTTTGCTGATGTTACCTGCAAGACTCTTGCCAATACGATCACAGGAACAACTCCGAAGGAGATTCGCCAGACTTTCAGTAACAGACATGACCTTACTGAAGAGGGACAGGGACACAGAGAAGCGAACGGTTGTGCCTGACGCGGTACCACTGAGGACTGTTGCAGGCTGCTCTGACGGTCCGTGGTAGACACACAGCAGACCACGCAGCAGCACATGGACAGTGTAGCGGAAGAACATCCTTACTGCATGTGTGGTTTGAGTCCAGATCACAAACCTGGGGCTGAGTTTCTTCCAGTACGCTTGAAAGTTTGTTTCTTTGTTCTGAATAAAACTGAACTGTGGGTTCTCTACAGAAGCAGCATTTTGGGCTTTTCCTCTTCTTGTAAAGCCATTTCTATCTAGTTGATTGTCCATTTAACATTGGTGAACTTTTAAAAGTTGTCATTGTATAAAAAGCAACTTGGAAAAGTTTTCTGTAATCGATTTAACGGAAAAAAAATTATTTGACTTTACTCATTATCATTATTTTTTATTTTGACCAGGGACAGACAGAGAGAGAGAGGGAAAGTGAGAAAGCAAGCTGCCAGATCAGACTCAAACCACAGTCAGCCACATGGGAATCCAGCACCCAACCACCATGCCACCGGCCGGCCCCACCCAGCATGTTTTTCAAGCCCCGGGGGCCACCATGTGGGATCAAGTTCCCTCTCCCCAGTGCTCAGTCCCTGTGCTCTGAGGGTAGCCAACATACGTGTGTATACTCATTTTACCTTGCCAGAGTGCACGGGCTCGCCAGAGAGACAGAGAGGGAGAAATCACCCCCAGGCATGTGGTCAGGCAGCAGTCCTCATTCCCCTTCTCCTCCATTTCTCTTCCCCATGGGAATTTTTTTTAAAGAATTCTTGGGACCAGCAGATGGCGTAATGACTATGTCGCTGGACTCCCACATAGTCGACAGCTGTTCGAGTCCCAGACCCAGAGGCTTAAACTCATACAGGGTATGTGTGCGTGCGTGCCCAAGATCCCAAGAGGAGAACGGAGGAGAAGGGATTGTGGCATGGCCATCCCCCCTGGGGGGTGATTTCTCACTTTCTGTCTCTCTGTCTCTCTCTGTCTTCCTGGCGCACATACGCACCCTATAGCAAAAATCTCTCAAAAAAAAAAAGAAGAAATCTTTAATGTGGTCCTGCAGGTGGCATAGTGGTTAAGGGTGCTAGACTCCCACATAGCCGACAACAGTTTGAGTCCAAGACCTGGCAGCTTGCTTTCTCGCTTTCTGGTCAAATTAAATCAATAGAGTTAAATAAAATATTTTTTATAAAAAATAATTTTTAATTAAATAATTATTATTTTTTAAATTTTGCTATCCCACACATCGCTCATCAGAGTGACAATGAGAGAGAAAGTGAGAAAGAAGTTGCCAGGTCTGCCTCAAACTGCGGTCAGCCACGCGGGAGTCCAGCGCCCTAACTACCACGCGACCTGCTCGCATCCCCTTGGGAGTTTGGGCCCCGCGTACACACCTGGCATGTCTTTCAAGCTGCTGGATATGGGACTTGAACCATGCAGTTGGCCATGGAGGACACGTTAACCACCAGGCCCTATGCAAATACTTTTTTCTCTTCAGATTTTTCCCTTAGTGCACAAAAGTCTCACCAGAGAGAGGGAGAAAGTGGGAAATCACCTCCTGGGGGGATGGCCGCATGCCGGTCCTCTACCCTCCATTCTCCTCTAAGGATTTGGGACACACACAGGCACCCAGCACATTTCCAAGCCACCAGGTCTGGGACTCAAACCATGGAGGCAGCCATGTGTGACCCAGTGCCTTAGCGACATACACCTTAACATTCAGTTGTGCACATTTATTTTGTATGTAGCCAGTGACTACTGAGCTTTACTTTTCTGGGGAGTGCTTTCTCGCTTTCCTTCTCTTTCTATTCCTTTCTGGCAAGTGCATGTGCCACAGAGCAAATTAACAACAACGAAGTCAGGCACATGTGTATGCGCGCCCCAGATCCCAACAGGATGGGAAAGTGGAGAGGGACTGTGGCATGACCATGCCCCACTGCGGGGAGCACATGTGCCCTGTGACAATGAAACAGACACACGCCCACACATACACAGGTGGGTGTCCTAGAAAAAATCCTAGTAGCTACATCTAAGTGCTACCAGCAGTTGCAACATGTAGGCAAATGAAGTGTGTCCTGCTGTTCAAGCTTATTTAGCTGTTTATGTTAGTGGCAGGGTCTTGCCCCGCTGCACTTCCCTGGCTAGCCTGTCGCCCGAGGGTAAGGGCAGCCCAGGACCTGGACCTGGGCCAACCCGGTGGCTCCAGTGCTGCATGGTAGTGTCCTTGGCCTGCAGAGCCTGGGCCAGGCCTAACGAGGGCTTTACAGTTCCCCTCTAAGTTCTGTGGAGGAGCTGCTGTGTTTATAATCATAAAAAAATTTAACAGTGACTTGTTAGACTTCATCTGCAAAGCTGATAGACTTAGAGTGTATTCATGAAATAGGAGAGGACAGATATTTATACTCTCTCTCAGCTTTTAGGTATCGAGGTTTTGCTCACTTTATAAAGCGAACAGCTATGGCACCAGCACGTGCTGTGGTGGTTAAGGCGCTGGACTCCCATAGGGCGGCTGCGGTTCAAGTCCCAGACCTGACGGCCTGCATTCTGAGTTTTCCCCTCCGTCTCTCTCGCTGTGTCCCTCTCAGGCCAAATTTAATCAATCAACTAATTAGCTAATTGATTAAATGAATTTAAATAAACAATAGTTCTTTAAAAATACGTGAAATAAATAAAGTGAACACTGTGCTCTCCACCCTTCCACCCTCCCCTACAGTTGCCTCAGCACCGTAATTCTCTGCTCCTCAACATCCACGACATGACCCATAAACCTACTGGGCCTAGACACATCAACACTAGGCTACGTGTAATTCTGTAAATCGCTTAAATTACTAGGTAAAGTCTATCTACCTGGACAATTACCCACTTCACAGTAATTCAGTAAGAATATTAAAGTACTGCAGTGGAAAAAGGGGAGTATTTTAACCTTACACCATATGCAACAATTAACTGAAAAAGAATTGTTGACCTAAATGTTAATCCTAAAGCTATAAATATCTTGAAGAAAAAAAGAGCAGGAAATCTGTGTGACATGGGGGTAAGCAGTGATGTCTTAGGAGAATACAGAATGAATGAACAATGAGGGAAAAAAACTGATTGAACTGGATTTCATTAAATAAAAACCTCCTGCTAGAAGAAAAGAAGACAAGCCACAGTGTAGAGATGACGTTTGCATCACGTGTGTGTCCCGTTCAGGGCGGGACACGCTGACCAGGTCTCACTAAGCAGAGAACTCAGTGGTCACTGTCACATGAGCCTGGCATTCCACTTCCCTGAAGACTGATCCTTTTGTTTTATGTAGGAAAACTAAAACCATTAGCGGAAATACACAGGGCCAGCCCGTGGTGTCATGGTGAAGGCGATGGATCCCTTATGGCTGACTGCAAGGTTTGAGTCCCACACCTGGTGGCTTGAAAAATATACCAGGTGTTGGGACCAGCAGTTAGCATAATGGCTATGTTGCTGGACTCCCATGTAGTCAGCCGCGGTTCAAGTCCCAGACCTGGTGGCTTAAACTCATGCAGGGCGCGTGTGCGTGCGTGCCCAAGATCCCAAAAGGAGAATGGAGGAGAAGGGATTGTGGTGTGGCCATTCCCACTGGGGGGGTGATTTCTCACTTTCTGTCTCTGTCTTTCTGGTGAGCACGTGCCCTATAGCAAAAACCTCTCAAAAAATAAGTTATTCGTGAGACCAGAGAAGACATTGTAGTTACGGTGCTAGACCCCCACATGGTCTACTGCAGTGTGAGCCTTGGACCTGACGGCTTGAAACTCCCACAGCAGACACATGAATGTGCATGCCCAAGATCCCAAGAAGAGAATGGAGAAGGGATTGTGGTGTGGGGGGAAGTGAATTCTTGCTTTCTGTCTCTCTGTCTCTGTCTCTCCCTCCTTTGGGGAGAGCACATGTCCTAAGGCAAAAAAAGTCCTTTATAACACAATAATTATTATTTTTTTTTTGGAGAGATTTTCGCTATAGGGCACGTGCTCTCGCCAGACAGACAGAGAGAGACATAGAGACAGAAGGCGAGAAATCATCCCCTAGGGGGGATGGCCACACCGCAATCCTTTCTCCTCCATTCTCCTCTTGGGATCTTGGGCACGCACGCACATGCACCTGGCATGAGATTTAAGCCACCGGGTCTGGGACGCAAACCGTGGTCGACTACGTGGGGAGTCCAGCGACATAGCCATTACGCTAACTGCTGGTTCCCAACACAATAATTATTTATAAATTCAGATGCAGAATAGGAAAAACATTTACTTTATTAAATAATAAATTATATTTCTACCATAACACACACAGCTTTTCATATGTGGAGTCTTTAAAAAGTTCATGGAAAATGTGTATTATGAAAAATTGCTAGATCTAGGGACTAGCAGTTAGCATAATGGCTAAGTCATTGGACTCCTATGTAGTCAAACGCGGTTCGAGTACCGGACCCGGTGGCTTAATCTCACACTGGGCACATGTGCGTGTGTGCCCAAGATCCCGAGAGGAGAATGAAGGAGAAGGGATTGCAGCGTGACCATCCCCGCTGGGGGGTGATTTCTTGCTTTCTGTCTCTGTCTCTCTCTCTCTGTCTGGTGAGCACACGCGCCCTATAGCAAAAACCTCTCAAAAAAAAAAAAAATTGCTAGATTTAAAAAATTTATTGCACCAAAATAGACCTGTTTTTTTGGTTTTTTGGGGGGAGGTACAGGTATTTGCCTTAGGGCGTGTGTGCTTGCTGGAGAGGGAGAGAGAGTAAGAGAGAATGTGAGAAATCACTCCCCTGGGATGATGGTCATGCTGCAATCCCTTCTTCATTCTCCTCCCAGGGTCTTGGACACACATGCACACATGCCTGGCATGAGTTTCAAGTGATTGGATCTGAGACTCAAACCGTAGTTGGCCACGTAGGGACCAGCAGTTAGCGTAATGGCTATGTCGCTGGACTCCCACGTAGTCGACTGTGGTTCGCGTCCCGGACCCGGCGGCTTAAACTCACGCCGGGCGCGTGTGCGTGCGTGCCCAAGATCCCGAGAGGAGAATGGAGGAGAAGGGATCGCGGCATGACCATCCCCCCTGGGGGGTGATTTCCTGCTTTCTATCTCTCTGTCTCTCTCTATCTGTCTGGCGAGCGCACGCGCCCTATAGCAAAAACCTCTCCAAAAAAAAAAAAAACAAAAAAACAAAAAAACACCGTAGTTGGCCACGTAGAAGTCCAGCAATGTAACCCACTATGCCGTCTGCTGGCCCCAACAGATCTATATTTTGTATGTATTTTTCCATGAACTTTTTGAAGCCCTTGATATTTCCTATATGACACAAATTGTAATTAAACGATGTTACCGGGACCAGCAGTTGGCATAATGGCTATGTCGCTGGACTCCCACGTAGTCGACTGTGGTTCGCGTCCCGGACCCGGCGGCTTAAACTCACGCCGGGCGCGTGTGCGTGCGTGCCCAAGATCCCGAGAGGAGAATAGAGGAGAAGGGATTGCAGCGTGGCCATCCCCCAGAGGGTGATTTCTCGCTTTCTGTCTGTCTTTCTGGCAAGCGCATGCACCTTATAGCAAAAACTTCCCCCCCCCTCAAAAAAGATGTTACCTTATAAATCTGTTCCCAGGATACCATGCATTTGAACAAAGCATCTGCAACTTTAAGTTCAGAGTTGCCACTAATAACCTGTACTCATTAAATAGTTATTGCATCAAACATACATCTAAAAATATTTTCTTCTTTTTTAACTTACCAGAGGACACGTGCGCTCACCTGAGAGAGACAGAGAAAGAGAGAGAGGAAAGTGAGATAGTATCACCTCCACGAGGGAGGCCACGCTGCATCCCTCCTCCATTTCACCCTCCTTCCAGGACTTCTGGCACACACACACACACACGTCCGGTGTTTTCAAGCCACAGGACCTAGGACCTCAACCACAGCCAGCCACGTGGGATGCATGCGTGTGTGCACCACATCACCAGCCGGTCCCCCAAAATATTTTCAACAAATTGTGCTTACATTTGTGGGGGGTATACAGAAATTAATGAAGTAGCTAGATGATTTTAAAAAGTATGCGAAGGCAATTAATAGATCAATCTTCCCACCCATCCAATAATCTTTATGAAAAGTCACTATTAAGCAATTAAAAAATACTTCAAGTATTTCTTCCATAAGAGAGAGAGAGAGAGACGAGCACCCCCAACAGGGTCCTCACGACTTGCTTCACCTCCAGCCTCAGCCAGCCTGGGCACATCACTGGGTGCACTGAGAGGCCTTTTTGTGTCACCACTGCACCGCCATCAGCACTTTTTACAAGGAGTACCCCAGGGTCCCAGTGCCTCTCTGCCCATATGCAGATGCAGACGGTAAGGGAGGAATGTTGAGAGTGGCCAATCTGAGCAAACGCGGTGACATTTAGATATTGGCAGAAATGCGGTTCTCTGAGCTGTCATTTGCACAGCCATGAAAGCAATTTACATATGAATATACTAGCTGCCTGAAACTGCAGAGCAGTACCTGTCTGAGGAAGCCGCATGTGTTTATCAGAATTGGCCGCAAAAGATCAGTACAGGTGTCGTGTGGTGCGGTGCGGTGGGGTGGCAGCTGTCCTTGTATCCACAGCTGATTAACATCGGAAAACAACTGGCTTTCATTGTTTCCTCTTCCATCATTTTCTGCCCTTTAAAATAATAAACCTGGGACCAGTTTGGGGTCGCAGCTATCTCCATCAGAGAAGTGGGGCCCACTGGATTCTCGCTTTTCTATACTTTTATGTCTGTCTGTGTTTATTTTTATGTTTATTTCTAAACCCACAGCGCCCCCACTCAAAAAAACACGCTCTGCTGATCGAGTCCAGGCAAAGGAAGGAGGCCGAGCCAGGGCTCAGTCATCCTTAAAGGAGGTGTGGACTGCACGCATGTCCTCTCCTGCCCCTCCCTCCTCCCTCCTCCCAGGATAGCACAGTCGGTACTTCTTCCTCTTAACTGACAAAGTGCAGCAATGCAGGCTGACAAACCAGAGCTGCAAAGGAGTCCACCCTGCTCTCGGGAGGTGAAATGGAAGAGAGGGGACCTAAAAGGAGGAGAACCAGGGTGGAGGCCAGCTGATCCCTCCATCCCTGTCTCACTCTTTGGCCTTGAGTGTCTGGCACAATCCCAGACAAACCATCTCCACACAGTTGACAGAAGGGACACAGTGCTGGAAACAGGAGGGAAGAGAATGAGTACACGAATAACCCATGCTCAACATAGCAACTCCTTGCGACCTCCTCACCCTGACAGAGGGACGGGAGATGGGAAGGCTCTGCCTTGGGGCCTGACGCTGACCTGGAAACTTTGTCCACACAAAAAGCCAAGAAATGCACCCTACGGTGAGGAAGTTAAAGCTTCTACTAAGCTCTCTAGCCCCTCACACTTCTGTTTTGTTTTGCTTTAATTTATTCATGATAAAGGGGGGTGTGCTCAAATGAGAGAGACAGAGAGAAAAGCATCTTTCACAAGGTCTGGTTGTGCATGGTCCCTTCCTCCAGTATTCCAACCCATCAGATCTTTTTTTTTTTTTAAATAAATATTTATTTAATTAATTTATTTATTTTTTCACATGAGTCTTGCCAGAGAAAGACTGAGAGAGAGAGAGAGAGAGAGAGAGAGGGCACGTGCATGCACAAGCTGTCAGGTCAGGGACTCAAACTGCAGTCAGTCATGTAGGAATTCCAGCATCTTAACCACCATGCCACCTACTGCCCTCCCCATCAGATCCTGCATCTTGACACCAACTGGCCTGGCGACATGCACCATAGTTACCACGTGGGCTCTGGCTCCCCGGAGCTGCGCGTCATGCCACAGTGCTGGCTCTCATCTCCCACTCTGAGTAGAGAGCAGATGGCTGAAGAATTACCACATCAGAGAAAAGCCCTAACATAAAAGACACCAAAATAAACAGAGAAAAATGACCTGAAGGAAAGAGCCTGTGCAGGGCAGAGAACACCTGTGGAAGTGTTCTGGTCCATTCTACCGCTGACGGCGGGATACCTGGGACTTGGTAACTTGTAATAGAGGCTTATGTAGCTCACAGTTTTGGAAGTTCAAGGTCAAGCAGCCACAGTTGGCAAGGCTCTGCTCACTGGTGGAGAACACCACCCAGGGCCTCAAATATTGATGGGAAAGAGATGGAGAAAAGCATGCATGTCCACCCTCATTCCCTCTCCTTACAAAGCAGCAGGACTCCCCTGTGGGGGCTTTACGCTGATGCTTGGTCACTCCCAAAGGCCACACCTCCCAACACCATAACCAGATTAAGTTTCTGCCATCTTAGCACTGTTACAGGGCTCACCAGATTTCAGTCCATGAATTTTGGGGATACACATTCAAATCACAGCACACTGAAAGGTTATTACGGGGGACCAGCAGGTGGCGTGGTGGTTAAGACGCTGGACACTCCCGTGTGGTCGACCATGGTTCAAGTCCCGGACCTGATGCCTTTCTCACTTCCTCTCTCAATCTGGTCAAATTAAAATAAATGAATGAGTAAATAATATGTCTCTCTCTGTCTGTCTGGCGAGCGCAAAAAAAATGAGAAATTTTTTAAAAAAAAAAAAAAAAAAAAAAAAAAAACTGTCTTTCTTTTTTTTAAAAAAAAGGTTATTATCGAAAGAAGCACTCAAGGAAGTAAAGACTCCTGGAAACTAAACACTAACAGTGGTGGAGCAGCAGATAGCACAATGGTTCCGTCGCCGGACTCCCACATGGTCGACTGCGATTTGAGTTTTGGACCCAGAAGCCTGAAACTCACACTTGGTGTGCATGCATGTGTGTCCAAAATCCTGAAATGCCAACTGTTGGTCCCTGGACCTTATTAAAATCCTGAAATAAGAATGGAAAAGAAGGGATTGCAGTGTGTCCATTTTCCCTGAAGGGTGATTTCTCGCTTTCTGTCTGTGTCTCTCTCTGTCCCTCTGGCAAGTACATGTGCCCTATAGCAAAAATCTCTCTTCAGAAAAAAAAAAACCACCTAACAGTGTACAAAACCTAGTCGCAGCAGAAGACAGAAGTGAATAAATCTTCTAGCAGGTGGGGCTAAAGGAAAAACAGGCAGGTTAGAGAATACCTTAGCAGTTCCAACACCAGGAAGCAACCAAGCAACCAAGAAAGAGGAAGAGACCAGACTGAGGAAATGGAAGAGCCAAGGCAGGACAGAAGCCAAATTGCCAAGAGAATGAAGAAGAGATATCCCATGATGACAGCCACGTGACACTCACCGAGATCACCCATCCAGACAGGAATAATGTGACCCAAGAGATATAGCAAATGCTGCTATCACCAAGCTCTCTGCTACCATTCACCCCCTTTTCCCTTGACCTTTTTCTTTTTTGGGTAGAGGGAGCGTACACTCATCACAGGAAAAGCACTACCCGTGGTAAGTCATGCCATAATCCCTTCTCCATCCCTCCTCTTGGGATTTTTGGCATGTGTACCCAGGATATTTCTCAGGCTGCCAGGTCTGGGATGTAAACCCCATGGTCAGCCATGTGAGATCAGGCTGCCCTAACTATCGGACCACAGAGCCAGCCCTATTCCCCTTTTTTAAAAGTTCGTTTATGGGAGGATCAGCAGATGACATTAATGGTTACGTCGCTGGATTCCCACGTAGTGGACCATGGTTTGAGTCCTGGTCCCAGTGGCTTAAAATTCATGCCAGGTGCATGTGCATGTGTGCCCAAGATCCCAAGAGGAGAACGGAGGAGAAAGGATTGCAGCGTGGCCATCCCTCCTGGGGGGTGATTTCTCACTTTCTGTTTTTCCAGTGAGTGCATGCACCCTATAGCAAAAATCTCATTAAAAAAATTTCATTTATTTTCGTTTCTTCACACAAGAGCCAACCCTCATAGGATCCCATCACGGTGATCAGCTCCAGTCTTCCAGTCAGCCATGCTCAAGTCCAGCAGGACCCAAACTCTTCATCTCCCACGCTGCTGCCAGCACTGCCAGCACCCCACGCCTTGAGCCACCACGGCCAGGCCCATCCTCCTCAAAGCGGTGCCCAGGTGTGTGGGCCGCTCATCTGACTAAATATGAGTCCTTCTCTCAAAACACCTGGCTGTCTAGGAGCTCACTTCGCCCCCATGGAAATGTTCTTTAACCCACTCCTGGACGCTCAGAAGGAATCACCGAGCTGCTTGCTCTGCCACTGCATTTCTGCAGGTCCTGAGACCTAGTCTACTCAGAAGTCCTGCCCAATAGGATTTCCAGGACCAAGTCCTGGCTTTGCCCATGACTCCTACGGAAGGGACTCTGCGAGCTGCAAGGCATGCAGGGAGTAAGGTCTGCTGACCCTGGGTATCCCTGCAATCCTTCCAAGAGTCCAGGAGGAAAAACTAAACACACAAGGGGGCCAGCAGGTGGCATAGTAGCTAAGATGCTGGACTCCCACACAGCCAACCACAGTTCAAGACCCAGATCCAGCAGCATGAAGACCATGCCGAGGGAAAGGAGGGAAGCAGCAGGTAGCATGGTAGTTAAAGGCACTGGACTCCCACATGGCTGACCATGGTTCAAGTCCCAGACCCGGTGGCTTGCTTTCTCACTTTCCCTCTCTCTCTGATCAAACTGGAAAATAATAATAAAAAATAAAGTTAAATAAAAATAATTCTTAAAAAAAAAAAAAAAAAAAAAAAAGATCATGCCGGGCACGTGTCATGCATGCCCGGAATCCTGAAAAGTCAGTGGAGGACAGAGACGGCAGCATGGCCATCTCACTGGGGGTGATTTCTCACTTTCCCTGTTTCCCTACGGCAAGGGCATGCACCCTATGATGAAAAAACTAAAAAACTAAGAAAAGAAACATACAAGAATGCTAAGAAATTATTTGCCTTTTCACTGGTGCACTGATGGCGCAAAAGCAACAGTCAGCAAACGTGGGCACCCTAACATAAATCAAGACGGTGACATCGAACTGTACCAAGGTGCACAATCATTAAAAATAAAGCCCACTGACGACAGTGTAGCAGGGTGGCTAAGGTACTGGCTCCTCATGGGTGACTCTGCAGTTTGAGTTCCAGACCCCTCAGCTCAAAAAATCACACCAGACTGGTGCACATGTACTCAAACTCTAAGAGGAGAACAGATTGGGCATGGTCATCCCCTGGAGGGCTGATGTCTCACTTTCCCTCTCTGTCTCCAGCACATGCATGTGCCCTACTGCAAAAATAAAAAATAAAAAATAAATGAATTAAGCCTTTTTTTTTTTTTTTTTTGGAGAGGGTTTTGCTATAGGACATGTGCGCTCGCCAAAGAGACAGAAAGCGAGAAATCATCCCCCAGGGGGGATGGCCATGCCGCAATCCCCTCTCCTCCATCCTTCTCTTCCACTCTCCTCCGGGGATCTTGGGCACACACACGCAATGAGCCCAGTGTGATTTTCAAGCCACCGAGTCTAGGACTTGAATGGTGGTCAGCCGCGTGGGAGCCCAGCGACATAACTGCTATGCCATCTGCTGGTGCCAAGTTTACCGACGGTATTTTAAATGAACTAATGTTAAAAATTCCTCAGGTTTGGAGTCGGCTGGTGGTGCCAAGGTTGCCGACGGTATTTTAAATGAACTAATGTTAAAAATTCCTCAGGTTTGGAGTCAGCTGGTGGTGCCAAGTTTGCCGATGGTATTTTAAATGAACTAATGTTAAAAATTCCTCAGGTTTGGAATCAGCTGGTGGTATAATGTAGTAAAAGCAGTGGATTCACACACGGCTGACCAGTTTTCGAGTTCCAGATCTGGCAGCTTAAAAAACATGCTGGGCACCCGTGTGGGCATGCTCAAAATCCCACAGGGAGAATGGAGAAGGGATTGTGGTGTGGCCATCCACCCTGGTGAGGGGGCTTCCTCATTTTCTTTCTCACCATCTCTTTCTGGCAAGTATATAAGCCCTATGGCAAAAACTTCAAAAAAAATTTTTTTAATTAAAAAAAGAAAATTCTCAGGTTTAACTTCAATACAGTAAATATCAACAGAGAAAAACTATACAATAAAAGCTCATTGGCCACTGTAGTTATGTCTATGAGTACAACTGGATACTGATTGCAAAACGTCTGACAATTACTCTTGTAAAGTGGCATACTGAAAGGAAACAAGTTTAATTTACTCTCAAAGTTTTAACGGAAGTGAGGAGAAAACACAAATATAATTTAGTGTAAGAAAAATGCAGGTAGTACTTACCAAATGGATCTTCCATGCCACTATTTACCAGTTTACGGAGGTGGGGTACAGTTTCTAAAATGAGAGAGAGGTAAATACTTAACATGTAAAATCCATGATCTTTTATGGGTTTTTTTGTGCTTTTTTATTTATTTTTAATTTTTTTTTTGAGAGGTTTTTGCTATAGGGCACGTGCCCTTGTCAGAAAAACAGAGAGAGACAGAAAGTGAGAAATCTCCCCCCAGGGGGGATGGCCACGCCACAATCCCTTCTCCTCCATTCTCCTCTCGGGGTCTTGGGCACGCACGCACACGCGCCCGACATGAGTTTAAGCCACCGGGTCTGGGACTTCAACCACGGTCGATTACATGGGAGTGCAATGACGTAGCCATTACACCAACTGCTGGTCCCAAACTAGTTTCATTCTTAAACATCCCTCGTTATCACCAAATTGTAGCTTTTTAAAAATTATTTATTTTATTTATTCATTCATTTTTTTTTTCTTAATTTGACCAGAGCAAGACAGAGAGAGACAGAGAGAGAAAGTGACAAAGCAAGCCACCAGGTCCAGGACTTGAACCATGGTTGGTCATGTGGGAGTGTCTAGTGCCTTAGCCACAACACCACCTGCTGGTCCCACCAAACTGTAGCTTTTAATAATATCTGGGAATTTCTCCAAATGTGACAGGTGCCCTATCAGGAAAGGCCGTGGACTGTGTCCTGTCCAGATGGTGATAAGCTGCGTCCCCAAGTGTCCTTCCTAGCAGCAGTGTCCTTCACACCCACTGCCAGGCTCCCAGGAGGGTGGGGCTGCTGCTCACGGTGTGAGCTGGCCCTGTCTACCCAGGCAGTGGAAGGTTCTCTTCCAAGTGGAAATCGGCCCCCCTTCTGTATTTACCCTTCAGCAACACATCAGTCAGGTGTTGGTTATTTGCATTTAAAAGTAAACTTTTCTTATTAATTTCTTAAGGTTTTTGCCATAGGGCGCATGTGCTCACTGGAGGGGGGTGGTGATTTCTCACCCCCTACAACACCTCCAGGGATGGCCGTGTGCAATCACTTCTCCTGGGGTTGTGAGCACGAGGCACGCACATCGCTCATCGCTCAGCATGGTTTTCAAGCTGGCCAGGTCCAGGATTCAAACCACATTTGCCATGTGGGAATCTAGAACCTTAGCTACCACACAATGGGCTTGCCAAAGTGTTACTTTTTAAAAAGTGTTTATTTTGGGACCAGCAGTTGGTGTAATGGCTATGTCGCTGGACTCCCACATAGCAGACCACAGTTTGAGTCCTGGACCTGGTGGCTTAAATTCACTCCAGGGGTGTGTGCGTATGTGCCCAAGATCCTGAGGGGAGAATGGAGAAGAAGGGATTGCGGTGTGGCCATCCTCCCTGGGGGGTGATTTCTCACTTTCTGTCTCTCTGTCTCTCTCTTTCTGGCAAGCACATGCATCCTATTGAAAAAACCTCTCAAAACAAAAAGTTTATTTTACGAGTAAGAAAGATGTAGAGAGCACCAGCACCAACAGAGCTCCTGCTGCTGGGGACCCCCGTGGTCGGCACCACAGTCGGCTGGGCTCCTGCTGGGGACCCATGTGGTCGGCACCATGGTCAGCTGGGCTCCTGCTGGGGACCCCCGTGGTCGGCACCACGGTCGGCTGGGCTCCCAGGACTGCCAGGGCTGGTGCTTTTACTGCCCTGCCCATAGCAGGCTCCAGTGCAACTATTTAAAATAGACTCACAGAGACGTATGTGCAACTCCATCTGCTCGGAGAGTAAGACTGCGAGCCTCTACAGAACGTTTCCTTTTCTTCCATGAGACAGAAGGAACTTCTTTCTCAAGGGATTCGATTTATAGCTACTAAGGTTGTATTAAGCACTCAGAAACAACAGAGAAACCCCACTCGGGGACTGAGTGAGCTGGACCGCTGCAGCGACACAGGTGGCACGTGTCACCCGCATTCCTGAGCCAGCTCTGCCCAGCAGCCAAGGCTCCAGGAAGCAGGGGTGCGTAGTTCCTTAGCTAGCTTCTCTCTCTAGCGATGGGCTCAAGTGGAAGCAGCAATATAATGGTCCTTTCTCCGCCCATGCGGATTTGGGTCTCATTAACGCCGAAGTCCTGACGCAAGGTGGGAGAGGAGGGAGTATGCATGACTGTCCCCATGGTGCTTCCTCACGCCTCTCGCTGTCTGCTCCCCTTCTCTCTGGCAGGCACATGTGCCCTCGAGGACAGTTTAAATATGTGTAAGTATGTATGTATGTGAGTACACACACGTATATTACAGTAACCGAAACAACATGTGGCCAGGCCTGTAGCCTAGTGGTTATGGGAGCTGAATCCGACAGCCTGGTTTAAGGCCCTGCCCCAGTAGCTGGAAAAATATACCAGACGTGTGCACGCACGCACGCCCTCCTGACAGGAGGGAAAAATAGAGAAGGGACCGCAGCATGCCTATGCCCACTAGGGGTGCTTTCTCTTTCTGGTGAGCACACGTGGTCTCTGGTCATTTAAGACAAAACAGAAGGGCCGGCAGATGATGTAGTGGTCACATCACTGGATCCCACGCTGGGGACTGCAGTTTGAGTCCCAGACCCAGCGGCTTGGAACTTACACTGGGCGTGTATGTGTGCGCGAGCTCAGGATCCAAAGAGGAGAATGGAGGAGAGGGCATTGTGGCGTGACTATCTCCCCGAGGGGTGATTTCTTGCTTTCTGTCTCTCTGGCAAGCACAAGCGCCCTATAGCAAAAACAAACAAACAAACAAACAAGACTCTCTTAAAAATATAGCAAAAGACAAAACAGGGCCACCCAGTAGTGAGGAGATTAAGGCATGGGATCCCACATCCACAGCCGTCTTAGTCCTGGACCCAAGGGCTTGAAAAACTCGCCAGGTAAGTGTGCGTATGTGTCCAAATCCCAAGAGGACAACAGAGAAGGGACTGCACCGTGGCCATCCCCCCAAGGGTGAGCGCTCTCATTTTCGGTCTCTCTCCAGCAAGCAGAAACTACAAACAACAACAAAGACAGCAACAGCTCTGGAAAAAACAGACACATAGACCAATGGAACAGAACAGAAAATTCAGAAATAAACCCACATAAACACAGCTGGTTTTCAACAAGGTGCCAAGAACAGCCAGTGGGGAATGGACGGTCTTTTCAGGAAAGGGTGTGGGGAAGTTGGACATCTATGTGACCCTCACCATCCACAAAAATTAACTCCAAAAGAACTGAAAACGTAAACACAGTACCTGAAACTACGAAGCTACAAGAAGAAAAGATAAGGAAACACTTCAGGACATTGGTATGGGCAAAGAATTCTTGAATAAAACCTCAAAATCACGAGGAACGAAAGGAAAAATAAATAAATAATGGGATTCTATCCAGCTAAAAGGCTTAAACACAGAAGACAATCAACAGAAGAGCCGACCCACAACATGGGAAGAACGCATACTATACATCTGAGGAGACTGGTGACCAGAGTACACAAAGAACTCGACCCTGAACAAACAGTTCTGAAAAGATGCTGGGTCGGACAGAGTCAGGACGTATTTTTCTGTGTCCTTCTATGCACAAACGTGTCGTGACTTTACGACAGCCCGATATGAACGGCCACGGGACACGCTCAGCACAGCAAGGACACGACGCCAATGTCGGGTTACAAGAGCTGCCCGTCAGCCAGGGCTGCTCGGCCACTGGTCAGGTGAGCCAGGCCCCACAGAGCAGGCCTCAGTTCAGATCCCAGCGGGCAGGAGTACACGGGACGTCTGCAGCGTGCGGGAGAAGGGACTGGGGACACACCCTGGGGCAGTGCCTCCTCGCTCTGCTCAGCGCACACACCCTCTAGCAAGCACACACACAGCGGTGCCGGTGAGGCCGTGGGCAGGAGCGCTCGTATGCCACTGGTGGGAGTGTGCATTAGCACGGCCATCACAGGAAACAGCTGGGAATTTCCTCCAAAAGCTGAGAATGGAGCTGCCCTCCGATCCAGCAACCCCACTTACCCAGCAGGCTGTGAGGATGTCTGCACCACAGTGTGGAGTCCACCCGTACCCACGGACAGGCACGTGGGTGAGAAACACGCACACGCACACGCGCGCACACACACACACTGGAATATTATTCAGTCAAAAAAAAGGGTGGAACCCTGTCATTTCAGGTTAAATGGGTGAGCCTGAGGACATTACATTAAGAAAAATAAGAGAACCAGCAGTTAGCGTAATGGCTATGTAGCTGGACTCCCATGTAGTTGACCGAGGTTCGCATCCCGGACCCAGTGGCTTAAAACTCACGCCGGGCGCATGTGCGTGCGTGCCCAAGACCCCAAGAGGAGAATGGAGGAGAAGGGATTGCGGCATGACCATCCCCCCTGGGGGGTGATTTCTCGCTTTCTGTCTCTATGTCTTTCTCTGTCTGTCTGGCGAGCACACGCACCCTACAGCAAAAAACCTCTCCAAAAAAAAAAAAAGAAAAAGAAAAAATATATACTGATTGAATAAATGGATGGATGGATAGATTTGGAAATACACTAACAACAAAACACAAGGAAAGAAAAAGATTTTCCCATTATGATGGCATAAAAAGAGATTTTAAACAGGCTTCCACGAGTTAGAACGACTAGGCTGTGCTGACTCCACCCTGCTGGTATGCGTGGGGAAGGACGGTGAGAGGGCTGTTTCTGACGTCCCGTGTACGGCACGTGCTAAGATAAAGCAGGCTTTAACTGCAAGTTTGGAACTGGTTCATAGTTTCTATTAAAAGCAGAACCTGGAAAGTATTATCCTGCTTCCTGACATTGGCTAATCAGGTGTCTTGGATGTTTCTTTCAGCGGCCAAAGCTACTGTGTCTGTTCAACGCACTTCACGGGACTTCCGGCAGAAGTCAAGTCTTAACCGGGTCAGCTGCCACTTGCCTACCCCCAAGGCTCCATGAAACAGCCTTCTGCCTAGACACAAGTGCCACACCACGCCAAAGACAAAGTGATGGGACCAATGTCCAGCAGAACTTATAGGGAAGACTGTTCCAGAAATTCCAGCTCTTACCAGTTTCATCCCACTGTAAAATATTTCCATTAG